AATTCCCCCCCCCCCAGAATCCTCGTCAATGAAATATTAGATTAATTTAACTGTCTAATTGGCCAATAGAAGAAATTGCAATAATTTACATCAGCAAATGGAATGCTAAGAAATGTCAATGTTGAAAGATGAGAAACAAAAACGACAGATAAATTCTTGTCAATCAGGTTCGCCAATTTGGAAGCCGCGGGAGCTACCGTCACTCGGGGAGGCCACGACGTTGCCGCGGAAGGGTAAGTCGGCCAGTGAATTCAATGATATGAACTCGGCTCACAGCGCCTCCCGAAAGTCACTCATTGAAATCAATAATTGTGCTCAACAATCTAACTTTAATAATCACGTTTAAGTTAATTAAAAACCAAAGGAAATTAATAGAAAAAAAAGCAAACAAGAATCCAAAAAACAGTGAAATACCTATTACAAGAAATAAAGAAGAGATAAAAATACTATGATAATTATTGAATTAATATTAATGGAGTAAATAGTAGATTTCAAAAGAAAAAAAAAATCACTGAGGTTACACTATAACTCGATATCGTGTAACTTGAATCTAGTCAGTGTTTCCTTTTTTCTTATTTTTGCTGTCCTCTGCTGCAAACTATAACTGAATTTCTCTCTTCCGTTTTTCCAAAAATTTTCACCCTCTCCCTTCCAATTCTTATTTTATCAAGATTATGTATTATTTCCATGATTTGGTATGATAAACTACACAATCGACTCTTGGGAAATGGTTAAAAACAATGTGTGAAACAGTAGCTGTATCATTGTACACTGATGAAGTAATATATACGTAATTAGACAGGGGATTGAACAAAAAGAATAATTATTTCAACACGTTTCAGTGAAAGAACAAGACTCCTCCTAATATAAAAGAAATAAAAAATATATATGCCGACTGATCTCAACAATCCTATGCAGATTTTTTAATGCATTATACTTTATAATATTGAAGATGAGACTTCGTTGCACGGAGACTTTGCAAGATTTTACGAGTAAATGAATTCATTGTTAGATATTATAACTCTTGTGAGAATATTTATAATCAAATAGAACATAGGAAGCCCAAGAAAAGATGAAAATAAATAAAAAAAGGAAAAAAAATATTAATCACTTACAGGGTTTTGAATTTTACGTGAAAATGAAGTTTGAAGATTTATGAGATATTGTATAATGCAAAGTGATGATTTTCAAATGTTTTTAAGATTGCCACTCTTTCACACAAATGCACAATTAACGAGATCGATTTTTACCCCATATTTTATCTCAGATTTATTTCTAAAAACCATTGATTCTTCAATTCATGGAAAGTAAGAGCTTTAACCGATTCTAGTCAATGACGTCCAGGTGATGTCAGTCTCCAATTGATGAATTGATTTATACGAAGAATTAAATTTTAAATACAAAATGGAAATACGTAAGATCGAGCGATGCTGCAGTGTGGACAGCAATGATATTAAAAAAAACATAAGGATAACGATAATTAACTCTGTATATAATGTAATAACAAAATTCGATTGGAAAAGTTGAAAAATGAAATGCTGAGAATGTAACACTTTGAAATATAGAGGAATTATGGATTGAAGACTATATTCATGAGAATGATATATTTATGAATATATATGTGGACACTGAGACGGTGTTGACGTATAGATCCATTGTTATATCTTATGTAGAAAGATTTTAAAAGACCCAAAACACTATTTCAACACGGTTCATCGTGGCTCAATGCCTTTCGAGCTGCATAGCTCATTTATTTTTAACATTACTTAAAGAATATACCGAGCTCGATTGACATTGAGGTGCGCTGAAAAATTTGGGAATTATCGATGAAAGAGTACGATTAGAAAAAGTGAAAAATTAAAGGTGAGGGAAAATTGATATTAATTAATTTCCTTGATAAATTCCATTGGAAGTCATCCGAACATTTATAACAATGAAATTGTTGATATTAAGATTGAAAGATTGATATCAAAGGAGAATTAATTCGTGTGAATTAGACAACAGAAAGTATCCATAGATGAAATTATCCACAAATGAATAAGAAAAAATCGTAAAACTTAAACGAGAAATATATATAGATGAATATAAAGCTATAATATACGTATACTCAAGGTAAACGAAGTGATGTTGATTACGTGCGTTACGCGCGGCGATCTCGACTGGTTCGATGCAAAAAAAGAGAAAAAGAGACGAGAAGAGAAAACGAGAAAAATGAACCGGGACTATTTTCTACCCGATAATTGTGACAATTCGTTATGGATAAATTTTACTTCACTCATAAGCGCCGATTATCTCTCAACGAGGATATTTTCTATAAAATTCTCGGTCGTTGGAGAAACAAATTTGTAGGAATTTCTGATAAATGCGAATTATTTAATTCCACGAAGTTGAATTTTCAGGATATTAATCTCACACTCTTCCAGGAACTCGAGTCATCATCGACAGTTCACTGTGAGTTTAATTTTATATGATATTTTTTAATGTAAATTATGTTTTGTAATGATTTATTGAAACATATATATTGTTCAATTCTATGCTGAGAGACTATTTAGTGTTATTATGTTAATTTCAATATTTCGATTTGCCTGAAATTTTGAGAGTAGAGTGCGATTTTTAAAATTATTCGAAGCAATATTTGGATATTAAGTATAATCGAAGGAAGGGATGCCGCGTGCGACGAATTACAGTGAGAATCGGTGGTGTTCGTCGATTACAAGAGAAGTTATTCAATTCGCAATCACTCAATTACTAAATGAACTCAAAACTGTCGTCAATGCAAATATTTAAAATTAGATTTGAATACAATCAGATGGAGGACTGTAAAACATTATCAGTGAATACTATTCGATTATTCGCGCTCTTGTATGGCCAACATCACTGATGTTAAATGTTTCGAGTCTAAAAAAAATTTAAAGGATAAAAACGCGGGAAAATCTTCTTTTGTTACTGAGATGATTCACATCAATTTTTAATTGAGTAAATCAAGCCAAAGTAAATGAGTGATTCCACTAAGTTTGATATTAATCTACCATTGAATAATAAAACGCATCTTCCGATTTTACTTTCACACTCTTCATTGCGAATTTTTGAATGCATTGGTCAATATTGGATTTTCGCTGAATAAATTTTGCATTTGTTGACACCAAGAACAAAGAAATACCAAATAAATAACTGTCGATTATCGTTAATGTGAAGCCAGACTATGTGACCTCAATGTCTGAAAATGTGAGATTGAAAGAAAAAAAAATAAATAAAAAAGAAATACTCGATAACGGCTATCACTGTATAAGACCAGGAAATATGAGGAAAAAAAACAATGGTTGCCCTCTAGTCTGTAATTCAAGGTCTAATAAACCTTACTAGTATACACTGGGTCACTCGGTGCAGGAAAAAAAAATAGTAAAATATTCAATATTAAGTCAAAGTATATCTAATTAAGACATCGTTTAAGATCTGACGGCGAAGAAAAATGCAAAAAAAACTTAAATAAAATGAAAAAAATAAGAAAATACCTATTAAATAATTATTATAGGCGGTTGGCGCACATAAAAGTATTAACGATGAAGAGGGAGGAAAAATGAATTAATCGTAATAATAATGAAGAAAAATAAAACTAAATGACAAAGAATGGACCTTCTGTTGCTCGAATTATTGCATTATCTAAATATATAAATTTTATGTAATAAATTCTGTCGAGGCGCGTCCTCCGATCGAGAGTGTTCGCTCTTTTATTCCAGGTGAATACAAACTAAAAATTATAAATGAAAAATTTGTCACGGTTTCTCGTCTCATTCACATATTTTTAAGTAAACTGAGTATATTGTACGAAAGTTGATAATCATCTCTGTAATATTTGCTTCGAAAAAAACAAACCTAAGAGTGAAGTCATAAGATTCACATAATATTTCAACCAGGGAGAATTTTTTTACCTAATAAGCCATTGTTTAAGGTAACTAATTTCATTCGCTTCGTCATTATTTCAATCCACTCACCTTCCTTTTGTATGAGAAAATCATTAGAGAGATAAAATCACACTAAAGAGATTTCATTGAAATATTTATAATTGATAAAGAAAAAATAATAAACGAGAAAAAAAAATACATCGTTGTCTATCTTTCTGTGCACATTGGGATTGACTTTGATGAAAATAAAGAAAAATCTTTAAAATATCGATCGAAAGTTTTAACAGATATAATTAAATAGCGAAGCAGAGAGATGGTAAATATTAAAATAAATAGGAACGCGCTAATTGGCTTCATGAGAGGTGGAAATCTCGTCAGAACTGAGACAAAATAAACCAGGGATAAAGACGAGATAAAACTCAAGTTGACGAAACCACAACTAATAATGAAAGAAGTGTAACGAAACCCTCTCGATTAGAGGCGTCCCAATAGTTGGCCTAGTACCGGAGTATCATGTTTTTGCCGCCCTCCTTTCATTCCCCGCCCCACAGAACCCGGATTGCCATTGGATTATTGAATTATCGTCTATTATTGATATACTTCGAGAAATTTTATTGATATAAAACTTTATCGCTACCGTTGACGATGTATTTGAACACGAGGACGGGTAAATTTAATGAAGTAATTAACAGAAAATGAAAATTAATGGAGAAACCAAAGTGAATGATCTATGACACGTTGCGAGAAATTCAGAAACTGGTGATGATGCGAATGCAGTCATGTAAAGTCGTACTGGAGAGATTGTAATCTTCGATTCATATTCCCCCACTATTGATACACAGGGGACTCGAAGACTGGAATCTTATCGGTATGTCTGTATACCCATTGATGAGGATGAATATCATAAAATCGTGAGATAATTTTTGTTTGCGCTCGAGACTCGCGACGTTCAATGGATCGACTAATGTAGTATTTAGTTCGTTTAGAACAAGGGTAACATCCTAATGGATGTGGAAAAATAAACGAAAAAATACTAGGTAAGAAATAAATTATAAAGAGTAACGAGTCTTTCCAGAGTGAAAAAACAATGAGGAAAATGGAAAAAAAATGAATACCCAAAACTTCAATAAAATGAAAACTCTTTCTTTTGTTTTGGAGAGCATAAATGGTGAACTAAAGACATGTATTATAGTAATGGAAATAAAAATAAAGGAAAAAGTGTTGTTTTTGCGTTCGAAACTTTGTAGTGATGAACAAAAACACATACACACAAAAAAAATGATATTTATTGCGAGGTATCATTGCAATTATTGATTACATTTACTGTACTTATTGTTATCGTTCCTCGGTTAACGTGGGAGAAACGTTTACGAGAAATTCCATTTGTACAATCATTGCGTGACATTAAAATATGATTACTCATTATGAAAAAATTATTAAAGAGTGTTCATTTATTTATCCTCAGGCCACTTTACGAATTTTCAATCAATTTTCTGTGTGTTATAATACGAAACACGTACTTCAGAAGAAAATGCTAAAATTAGGCACCTCAGGTTTCCAAATTCGAAACATGTTTCGCTGTTGAATTGGTATTTATTTATCCTCCTATCAAAAAAATGTGATTTAAAAATCCAAGGTTGTCTCGAAATACATTTCGACCTTATCAGCAGTACTCACAATCTCAACTGATTCTCATCATCTTCCTGTCGAGTTTTTCTCCATAAATAATTGGATGTTCAGCAGTGATAACGAAGCCGTTGAATAGAAAAATTGATTCACGCAGGGAAGGAATTATAGATAAAATGGGAGGAAAGTCTTGATAATCAAAGAAATATATTTTCGGTTACAAAGTGCGTAAAGTTGCAATTTTTTGTATGCATGCGAGAATTTATATTGCACACTGTCTGGCAAACAACACTTTACGCCCGCTAAATCTCCAAAATAGTATCTTTCGATACGAGTGCGTAACAGGGTTTTTTGACGCGTTGGAGGTGAGTTAAGGGTCAAAGATCACTTTTCCGACGAGTGTCGAGCCCTATTTATCATCATACTATGTGAAAAGTGGGATTTTGAGCACGCGGAGCGTGCCTAAAATTTCACTTTACTTACAAGTCATGGAAAGTGTTTTTAGCACTGGGCTTCGACGGGCACTACCAAGGGGCAAAGGTGCTACTTACTCCATAGTTGACTGACATCATGAATTTGAAACGAGGTCGATTTTGAGCGATTTTGAGCGAAATCGGTCGATTTGAAAATTAAGTATTTTTTATTTATTTTTATTTTTTCTATTTCATTGGTTTTATCGAAGTAATTCTCGATTTGAAACCTCTCCTCTAGCCTGCCATCCCTCCTTTCTTTTTCCTCTCATTGTTATCTGCGGTATTATCATGGCCGTCTTACTCTTAGCTGCGCCCCATTCGAGCTAGAACTGCACGGGAAACCATGTAAAACCCCAGTCGCACAGCCGGCCGATTGTGCAGTGCCCTAATATATTCATCTGTCACACTGACTAGATGGAGAGACACTAGGCCGCTACACCGTACTTACCGCCCGCAATTTTTGTGCGAGCGCGGTGTTCCTAAGAGGTCACCCATCCAAGTACTAACCCAGCTCAACGCTGCTTAGCTTGGATGTCCGCCGGAACAACACCTCACCCACCTAACCATTACAGTCGGTTGAAAATTAAGTATATTTTGGTGTAAAATTATACGTCAGTTTGATCATTAAGTTTAAACGATTTTTTTCTAAAATTTAGAAGGAATTAATTGTGACATCTAATTACAAAATAAATCGGTAATAAAAAAATTATACATTTCGAATAATCATTCGGTGAGCAATTGAGTAATTGAAAGTTGAAGTTGAGCATTGATTGAGTAATCGAATTCTTTCAAACACGATTGATGAATAATTCTGTAAATGAATAACTCTATCTTCGAATGAAAAATAATTGAATAATCGTTTGACATTAATTCAATGGAAGATAGTCGGAATAATCGATAAATGCCTCATTGAAATTGATGAATAATAAAAAATTGAACAATTCTCATTTACAATTTATCATTTTTTAGTGATTGATGAATCTCTCATCGTCATTAATGATTAATGGAAAGTGTGAATAGTATGCTAATTCATATTGATGATTGATGAAGTATTGAAAATCTTTGTGTTTCTGATTATTGGTTACCTAATCAATGGTAATTCATTTCATTGCAATTGACGATTATTCGGTTATCACTTAGTTTCCAATTTCAATTACCGATTAATGAAATAATCAAAAAATGAAGAATCTCAATTAAAAAATTGACGGTGTAATTGTAATTAGAGCTTAAAATATTCCAAAAGTAATGATTACTCCCGAACCCTGCCCACGGGTCAAAGAACACTTTTCCGACAAGTGTCGAACCCAATTTTTTCATCACAGTGTGTGGAAAATTTCACTTTACGCACAAGTGACGAAAACTGATATTTGTGGACAGGTATAACAAAACTCAAATTTTTTTCATCCCCCTTCCATTTTTTCCGGAATATTTGATATACCAGATTTGACTAGTATTTCGTGGATTAATTTTTCAATCACTAATACTGAAATATCTCGTATTATTACACGATTTCTGTTTCCCTATCTGTCATGAGTGACCGATCAAGATCAGATAAACACCTGGCATTTCATGAAAAAAATAGACCGCAGGTGTCCAGAAAAAAAAAGACAGCTCGTAATCGTGTCGACTTCACCCGTTGGTTTCACGTATATGATAAATCGTCGTATCTTTAAAAAATGATAAGGTATTGGACTCCACTTCATTCTTACTTCAGTGGACTCAAATTCATCCTGGTCTGAATGAGTGTCTGGTTTGCATAAAAGCCGGCTGCATAAGTGAATCTAGCTCTCAATTTCGTCTCAATCTGTTCTCGCCGGTATCCGAATCGAACTTTATTCTGTGTGAATTACGAAGAATTGACTAAAGTGACTGGTTTACTGCAAATATTTGAAAATACAATTTTTCTTGCAATCGCTCCATCCGCAGTATATATTTCCGACGCATTCATAGGATGAATAAATGTGCAATATTTCTCCTGGTTTTTACTCAATTACATTCGATAGTATTAACGAAAGAATATACTTGTGTTTGGTATGGTGAATGTGGACCATCAGTGCCCAATAAGCACAATTGTCCATCAAATGATTCAGCTCGGCTGATCAATGACGCCCATGCCGAGGAGAAACTGCGTAGGAGGTGTCCCCATTTCTTCGAAGAAAATGGTAACTTTCCTTGCAATAGTATTTATGCAAGTGAACATTGAGCACGCCATGGCGAAATGAACCGCTTTACATACACTAAACTGTTTCGAAATTGTATTTTTTGTCATGACGGCCGTAGGCAGAGATTCACGGACGCGGAGCGAAGCGGAGCGAAGCGGAGCGTCCGTTAAACGCTGCCTTACGGCCGGAATGACAAAAAAAACTTTTCTGACAAATATGATTGCAGCCCTCGCCTTCGGCTCGTGCTGCAAACCTCATATTCGCCAGAAAAGTCTTTTTCTGTACTGCTTTTCACGATTTCTCGTCTGGGAATTGGTATTACATATTTCCCAAACTCGAAAACTTGAAAATCACTACAGAAAAATATTGTTCCTGGGCTGTTGCGATGGGGTTTTTTACTCGTGTGGCGTTGGCCTGCGAGCCGTAGGCGAGGAGTGGCCAACCACACGAGTAAAAAACCCCATCGCAAGAGGCCGGAAAAATACTATTTCGGTCTAATGACGAAACACACTATTTTCGCCCCAGCGTAGCGTTGATGGGGAGGGAAATCTAACTTTGCGCCTGCCGGGGCGAAAAAAATTTTACTCGATACACGGCCTGAAAAAACTTCATGTCGAACTTTATGACAAACGGCCTTATGACGAAATGCACTGTTTTTTCTACGGCCTTATGACGAAGCATTTTTTCTTATCATGGTGTTCACGAGCGGTTGCTTAGCACGCGCTGCGTGCGTGAAGCGAGGCTTCACGAACTGAGTGAAAAAGTGCACTTTTCAGGCAAGCATCACAAAAAACCTTTCAGTCTTTTGTGAACTTTATTATAATATTTTCTTTCGTCAGTAGAATGTAGGAATAGAGTCATTAAGCGATATCGAGGTACTTTAGCCTTTTTGTTCGTTCAAATCTTTTCGAATGTGTGTAATTGAATGTCTGGGCTTCCATTTGAGCCAATTCGACCCTAGATTACCACCAGTTTTGCAAAAATTCCATCATTCAAAGTGTAAAGGTCTGGATTTGAGTCTACACTTTGAACCGTGAGAAAATACTTTGAAAATTTGAATAAAAAAGGCTATTTTTTAAGGAAGATTCATAAATTAATTGAAATTTTGAATTTTTTAGACATGAATATTTTGTCGTTAATAATTAATGAATAAATAAAGTTTGCATTGTAAAAATCATTGCAATTGAAATTACAATAAAATTTTTGTTCAGTCCTAAAAGCGTGGGGTTCTCAAAAAATTTCCGCTTTTCTCAATATATATTCGTACGCTCGAGCCGTGTTAATTTCTTCCTGTCATCATTATTGGCATTCCCCTTTGCAGATCATCCCTTGACTTGTTGTGACAGTGCCATAATACAAACAATGGACACAAATATGCAACAAGCCGAAGGGATTTACGGTCGTTGTACATCGTGTTTAAGAAACTTATTCCGTTCAATCTGTGACTTCAGTTGTGCACCTGATCAAAGTCGATTTATGGCTGCAACCGAGATTTTGAAATGGGAAGTTGATGGTAGTGAATATATCAATAAAATTGAGGTAATATTATTCAATAACTTTGATAAGTGACAGAGGAAAAAATTGCAACATTTGAATTTTTATAGATATTCCTTGGTGAAGAATTTGCAAATGGTACTTTCAATTCCTGTAGCAGTATAGTTCATCCGGCCAGCGGTAAATTGGCAATGGATCTTGCTTGCGGGCAACATGGTGCGAGCAAATGTACCCCGAAACGGTAAGAATTTCTTTATTTACATATCTGAAAAATTCTGTAAAAATTCTGTTGGGAATTCTATTAGTTTTTGCCGATTTTTAACGATAATTCGGCTACTCTCCCCACGTCTCTTTCTTGAGTATAATAGAAAAATATTTCAAGGGTGTCAATAGAATAACAGGAATTTTTAGTTTGAGAAATTTGATTTTTCCACAAAACCTATTTTATGAGGATTTTCCCCGCAGAAATTTCTAGGAATAAATGAAAAGTATGTGTTCTGTTCGCACTGGATGCATCTGAATGCACGGAGAGAAAAATTCAATAAAAATTACCAGAAAACAACGTAAAAATTACGTTCCAAAACGTAATCTGCGAGCGAAGTAAAATTTAATAAAAAGTGTGAGTCGAAACTTAAATTCAGTAGCGAAGTGGTAAAGCGGTATAAGTCAATTGTGACTATTGACCAGTTTTTAATAAATATCTCGGAATCTAAGGGAGATGGCAAAATTTATGTTAAAACCTTTTTTGTAGAGCCGATTGAGAGCTACAACAAATGTAATTACGAAATTTTCGCTATCTCCGTTAGATTCGGAAATTTTCCTCAAAAACTCAACTGGGAGATAAGTCCACTTGAAATGGTTTACCACTTCGCTACTGAATTGTACGAACCGCCACGTAAATTCTACGATTTGTTCCGTAATTTTCCCCCAACGATTGAAAAATTTTACGGGACGGAACGTAGAAATAACTCACCGGCTTCATAAAAATTGTTGAACCTTGAAGAATTTTTGATTTTGGAGGCATAATAAGTCGGGAAGTTTCTGTGAGATTTTACTTCTTCGGGAAAAATTACGTTCTTGATAATTTCGTTCTTTATTCGGTGATGAACCTGAAATAATTCACTGAACTTTTCAGATTTCTTCTCTTCCATTGCTAAAAAAATTTCCGGAAAACGATTCCCCATTGCGGATTATGTGAATTGTTCCGTAATTTTTACTGAATAATTCTCTCCGTGTGGAGATCAATGACGCAAAGTGAAAAGTTACATTAAAACGTAAAAAACCCCGATACCCCCCTTAAAGTTGCATTAAGTGGTGTACATTCTATAATGTTTGCGTTTATTGAATCCACTGAATAGAAAAATAACAATATATATGTAGTTTGCGCCCGCTGGGACGAAAAATCCGTTTTCTCCCGCAAAGCGGGAGAGAAACGCGTCCTTTGCGCCCGTCGGAACGAAAACACTATATTCAATTTAATTTTAAAATGAATTGCCTTTAGACATAAGGTGGTGAAACGGGTGGTCTCGGACATCTACCTAGTCATCCATATGGTATCCGATTAATTCATCCCAGGATAATTTATCCCACAAATTCATCCCATGACAATTCATCCCAAACAATTTCATCACATTTTTTTATTATTACTGTTTGAATGAAGAATACGCTTGGCTGAAGCGCGTGACTTATCGCATTAATTTTCAAGTTTTGTACTGATTTTGTAAATTGATGCTGTGGTCTATTACGTGTGGCCTATCTGGCAAATGGTAGTTGAGATGGATAAAAATGATTTCACCGCTTTTTTGCAATGTTTCCTGTTAATCCGTTGATCGATTGTGTAAACAATACTAGGAGGGAATCGTGAAGGATCTGATTGATTTTGATGTTGGGTTTAGTGCGTTTTTCTGTGAAAATAAAGCTAATATTTTTCTCTTCCTGAATTATCGTTGTGACTGTGAAAAATTCCATTGGAATTTAATCGAATAATTGGACCTGACAAGTTCTACTTAGGTCTTTCCGTTCAGAACTGGATAGGTCTTGGGAAGCCTCTTCCCAAGTGCTTCCGAGACCTTTCTACCTCTGGTTATGTCCCATTTCAGCTCTCGTTAGGTATAAGCAGGACTTGTATTCAGACTTTCCAAATCCTTGCCGGTCCCCGTAATTCTATGGGCCTATATTAAATCCGGGTTCATATCCCTGTTTACGCATGCGTTATTGAAATAAAAAATGCAATTGTTTTTTTTTAAATCTTGAAAATCGACATTTCATAAAAGGCCGGAGGGGAGACGCATGTATGCGGAGGCTTGAAATTTTTACTCAACAAGGGGAGAAGGTTGCCGAATCGATTCTAGCCACCCTTGTCCCTCCGCTTGCATGCGTTGTCTAAATAAAAAATGAAATTGTTAACAATTCTGACCCTTGTTCCAAGTGAAAACGAAAGTTTTTTATTTCGACATTTCTGGCACCTCCGAGGGTGTCATTGGCATTAGAGGAGTCAATAAATACGGAATCAACATTCACTTGGCGAAAAAATTCGATTTTGGCGAAAGTCGGCTTTTCCGCGGGAAAAATCCAAGATCTGACATTTTGGCCCCCGGTGAAAAAAAAATTGTTTCAGTTTTCACTTTTTCCACATACTTTTGAGTTTTGAATAGCCCGTCGCATAAATTATTGGAATCAACGTTCACTTGGCGTAAAAATTCGATTTTGCTGAAAGTCGACTCCGCTTGGAAAAATCCAAATACCCCCCCCCCCC